CACGGGGGGCAAATGCCGAGGGAGAGAAGCGGGCACGCTCGACAAGTGCTTTGGCACAGCAAAAGAGCAGCATGCAGGGGGAAGCGACGTATCAATCACACCCGTCACCTGTCTCCCTAAAGCAGAAGTGGGGAACCATGGTTGGTGGACTTCAACTCCCAGAATTCCTCAGCCAGCATGGCTGAGCATGGCCGGCTCAGGAATTCTGGGAGCCGAAGTCCATGGCTGGCTGAGGAATTCTGGGAGTTGAAGTCCACAAGCAGGGGTCTTCCAACTTGGCCCTTTAGGACTTGGGGACTTCAAATCCCAGAATTCCTCAGCCAGCATGGCTGAGCATGGCTGACTGGGGAATTCTGGGAGCCGGTCCATGGTTGTCTGAGGAATTCTGGGAGCCGAAGTCCGTGGTTGGCTCAGGAATTCTGGGAGCTGAAGTCCATGGCTGACTGGGGAATTCTGGGAGCCGAAGTCCATGGTTGGCTGCAGAATTCTGGGAGCCGAAGTCCATGGCCGGCTGAGGAATTCTGGGTCCTGAAGTCCATGGCCGCCTAGGGAATTCTGGGAGCCAAAGCCCATGGCCGCCTCAGGAATTCTGGGAGCCGAAGTCCATGCCTGGCTCAAGAATTCTGGGAGCCGAAGTCCACTAGTCACCCAAGACCCATGGTTCCCCACCCCTGCCCTAAAGGAAGGACAAACCACATGCCATGCACCCTGGTACCTGGCTGGCAGGACGGGCTTCCTGGCTGGCTGGCTTTGCCAGGCCTCCGGATGGTGGCTGAGCCTCCGGGGGGCTTTGGGCCTGGGAGGGCTTCCCTTCCGGAAGGGCTGGGGGCTGCGTCTTCTCAGGGGGGGCCGCCTCCTCTTTCTTCCCCCGCTGCTGCCGGGAGGGGGGCCGGTGTTCCCGACTCTTGGCTCTGGACATCAGGCTTTTCAGCCCCACGGAGAGGTCGTCCTTCGGGGGGGCCGCCTCCTTGGGCTGGGGCTTCGGGGACGGAGACGGCCGAGGAGGGGGAGACAGCAGGCGGGGGGCCGGGGAGAGGACCCTGCGGGGAGCCTTTTCCTGCTTTTTCCCGGGCTGGGGGCCCTTGGGAGGCTTGGGGGGCTCCTTGGCGCCTTCAGCGTCCTCTCCAGGAAGCACTTTGTGGACCAGGCCGCGGACGGCCTTGGCCACTTTTGTGGCGGAGAGGCCGTGGGGGTCCTCGCCGGGGGTCCCGGGCTGAGGCTCTGAGACGGCTGCGCGGGGCCCCTCCAGGCCGTTCACAGCAGGGCTGGGGGGCTGGGCCTCCCCGTTCATCAGGGGGTCCGGACTCTTCGCCTTGCCCGAGCGTTTGGGGGGCTCGGGTCTCTGGAGATGGCGGGACGCTTCCGTTTCCGCGATCGGGGAGTCCGGCTAGAGTCACAGAGACAAGGAGGGGTTACCGAGGGAAGGGGAAGTCCGCAGATCGGGGTTCAACTGTGGGGTGCTTGGGAGGGGGGTCTCTTGAGCTGGGGAGGGGGGGGTTTCTTGCAGACGTTTCGTGACCCAACTAGGGAACATCA